CCAGCCACGGGAAGCTTGTCAGCATGAATGCAGAGAAACTCAAGTTGGAACTTAGAGCAGCTGGCATCTTCATGAGGCCTATTCTGTCTATAATGGGGACAATGTGCTTGAAGGTTAATATTTAGGTTGGGAAGCATGAGCCCTCCCATTACCACTGGGCACCAGTCCCCTGCTGACCTGGCCTCTCAGCACTGCCTGGGCTCAATGACCTGCCCTCCTAAGCAGCCTAAACCCTATTCCTCTGTCTCCAGTATTTTTCTTATTTCAGTTTAATCCTTCATTTAACAGTAAGCCTCAACAAAGATTTTTCAGATTTTTCTTACATATACCCTTGATCAGCTAGTATAAGATAGGCTTGGTTTGCACATCACTCATAAATATCTGTGTAGCTAAAACTTAGAATGTTCAAATCCCCACAAATCCTACTACTCCAAGTTATCTTCTTTGTATGACATTACCTATTCTCCTGTTAAAGAAATGACCTCTGATTTTTCCCCATAATTTGGGGATGCTTGTTGAGGGTCATTTGATCCCAACACATGTCCACATGATGAAGAGCTGTTTGCGTCTTTCTAAACAACCCCACTCAAAGACCCATGACTCTCACTATCCAGTACTTCAGGCATTAGGCTCTTCTTTTTTTGTTTTTAAAGAATTGTTTTATTTAACTTTATTTATTTATTTATTTATTTATTTATTTATTTATTTATTTATTTTAATTTGACCAAAGAAGGACAGAGAGAGAAAAAGAAAGTGAAAAAGCAACCTGTCAGGTCCAAGAAACAAACCCTTAAACACCACACCACCTGCCGGCTCCCTTGGGCTCTTCTTATGCCCTTGGAAATCTTATTTTTCTTCTCATAAATGCATACTAATTTAGCGCATACAGTATATGTCTTTAAAGCTCCTATTTATTGTATTACTCCCAAACAAAAACTGATTTCCATGTAATTTTCTCTATGGTTCCTGCTCTTTACTCCTATTACATAAACTCCATGTCCTCTTTAATGATAGTGCTTTAGAAGACAGTGCCATGTGCTTTTGAAGGATTGGGGGAATCTACTGGGAGATGCAGATACTAAAGGAAGGATTGAGAAACAGTGAAAAAAAGAGAATATTGAGAAATCAATCAGTGTACACTGAGTGACAAAAGTAGGACAGTAGGGCTGAGGGACAAACAGATGAGACTGAGACTAGAGAAGTAATGAGGGTCAAGTGGAGTCGGGGGAGAGGCAGTAATAAGGTAGAAGAATGTGGGGAGGGGAAGGACTGGTGACAATGGAAGCTGATGAAAATAACCTGAAGGACAGAAAAAAGGCAAGCCAGGTGTTAGAGGAAACAGGGTTATATAATAGAGGGAGGAAATGAGGTGCATAGGATGAGGGGATGAGGACAGAGAGAGAAGAGAACAAAGGCCTGAAAAGTGGGGAGCTACTGTCAGACATGGTAATAGAAAGTGCGAGCAGAGGGAATCTGAAGGCAGAGGTAAGTGGAGAGGAAACAAGGGAGAGAGCAAAAAGAATGAGGAGCACTGATGGGAGAAGCCAGTATGTTGAGAGGAAGATAAGGGCCTGAGCCATGGATGAGGAGAGTCGGAGGGAGAAATGGAGTGAGAAAGAGATGAAGGGACAGAGTGAGAACCAAAGAAAGAAAATAGTTTTAGAAAAAGAGAAATTTTCTTGAGACAATAGGAGAAAGGATGAAAAGTGGGAATATGATTAGACACCTTGGCGAGATGAGGAAGGAACCTGAGCCACAATGGAGGCAGGGCATGGAGACCCAAGAGTCTATGTCCTAGAGAAGACTGCCAGGGAGCTCCTACAGCCTTCTCATCTCAAGGACACCACACAATGAAGAATCAATGCAGGCTTCTGGCCCTCAGGACCCAGCTTTAATAGGCAGAACAGTGTGGTAGGGAAGATCAGCAGTTCTGGCATAGGACCTGCATTCCACTCTAACTTCAACATCTGTTACCTCTATGACTGCTCGAGTTATTTGCTTTATCTCAATTTCTTTATCAGATAAAATGAGACAAATTCTATAACTACTTCATGGGCTAGAAAACCTACCGTTCTACATCTGGTGCAGTTAGAACTGTACCTTCAGTAGATGGAGATTATTAGTATTATTTACAATTTCCAACACTACCTTCCCTTTGAAATATTTCCATAGTATTTGTCTTCCCAGATATAGCTCTTCCTTTTACATCTAAGGGAAAGTCAGTGATCTGACAAGAATAAAGAGTTGAAAGAGTTGGAAGCCCGAGCCACTGAGTGGACTTTTTAACAAGCAAGCCACATACATGGTTTTTGTGAAGTTCCTGAATCTCACTGCACCTTAGCTCCTTTCTGTGATGTAATATTTTCACATGCACCCTGCCTCCTCTTCAGGGAAACTGGTGGGCTTAATGGACTATGGAAAGAAGGGCTCTAAGGTGCTGGAAGCCCCACCAGTGGGGAAAAGTTGAGGTCTTGATTCTTTCCTGTCACATCCTGTCATTCCAATCCAAAGTACGCCCAAGAACAAATAGAGATTTCTCTCTCTCTTTCTCTCTCTTTCTCTCTCTCTCTCTCTCTCCCCCTCTCCTCATTCCAGCTAAAACATCTGTGAGACAGCCCAGACCAGAAATAGAGATTTCTCTCTCTCTTTCTCTCTCTCTCTCCCCCTCTCCTCTTCCCAGCTAAAACATCTGTGAGACAGCCCAGACTAGAAAGCCTAATCATAGATTGGCTGTCCTCCTGGTAATGACCTTATCCATACACCTGCTTATAGACCTGCTAGATAAGAGATATCACAGAGGTCACTGGGTTAGCTCCCCTATCCACAAACCAAAAGACTTTCAACCACTTACTAGTCTTTTTTGCCTGTAGTTTCTTTCCAGATCCCTGTTGCCTTGGAGCTCCTGTACCAGTCTCTTCTGATAGGACTCCAGATGCTGTATTGCATCAATTGCAGGGCAATTATAAGGTATTTGACTTTCTCCCTTGGGTCATAAACCCTCAGAGGAATCTCCTGATATGTATGCAGGCCTGTCAAATACCAAAGAAGGATGTGCATTCCCTTAGGATTTAGGATTTGGGTGCTGCAGTTACAGTCCATAGAAACTTAGTGACCCATGAGTACCATTAGATACTCAATGGGCCAGACCATCCTTCACACTGCCATCATTATAAGAAAATATGTTGAAAGACCCTTGGTTCTTCTTTTTATCTTCTTTCTTTCCCCCAACAAAGCTTCCTTTGAAGTTGTCCTTCCAACTAGGCATTCATTAATTTGATTTTGGTTTTGTTTTTATTTTCCTGAAGCAGTATAGCAGAGTTAAAAATGTAAACACTGCAATCAAAACAACTATCAAGCCCTCTTGCAATACCGGGAATGTAATTTTGCCTCTGAACTTCAGTTTACTTCTCTGTAAAATGGGAAATCTAATAGTACCCACGCCATAGGATTATTGACATATTTAAGTGATAGATAAGATATTAAGACCTTATAATGACTGTGTCACAGTATGTGCTTAAAAAATTATCTATGGGGCCCAGCAGATAGCATATTGGTTGCCTCGCTGGACTCCCATGTAAGTCCCAGACCTGGCACTCAAAATTCATGCCAGGTGCATTTGTTTGTGTGCACAAATCCTGAGAGGAGAATAGAGGAGAAGAGATTTTGGTGTCGCCATTCCCCCTGGAGGAAAATTTCTCACTTTCTGTCTCTCTGTCTCTTTGTGTGTCTCTGGCAAGCACATGTGCTGTATAACAAAAATCTCTCTCTCTAAAATAAAAAAAAAAAATTAAAAAGCTACTATATGGGTAATCTCTGTATCTTCCATATGATTTTGCTATGAACCTAAAATTGCTCTAAAAGATAAATTCCACTAAAAAAATATAATGACATCTTGGGGCCAGATGGATTTGCAGTAGTAAAACACAATGATCTACAAGGCTTTCCCACATGGGAGAGCTCCCAGTTCAAGGTCTAAGACCTCCCTACGTGTGCTAGGCATGCACTTGCTAGCATGATGATCTGGATGAAAGATGGATCATTATGTTGAGACCCTTTTGGGGGTGCTGTCTCTCTTTCTTTTTCTCTGTCTCTCTCTCATAGAAGAAATAAATATATAACTTTTTTTTTTAAATGGCAACTACTGAAGTTCTATGTTACTGTTTTCTGTTGCTTTCATTTCATGATAGTAAGTTGAGAAATACATAAAGTGACATTGAAGTTAAGGAGACTCTAAATGATAAGATTTCTTTCAATAAAATATGACATGTACTGAAATGATTGACTCTGGTGAAAAGGTTTGGCATAACAGTTTTAAAAAATGAGACCAGCTTGAGATTGAATCTCAATCCTGCTATGCATTAGAAATTTAATTAGAGGGAACAGCAGTTAGTGTAATGGCTATGTCGCTGGACTCCCATGTAGTTGACCACAGTTCACATCACATCCCAGATCCGGTGGCTTAAAACTCACGCCAGGCATCTGTGTGAGTGTGCCCGAGATCCCGAGAGGAGAATGGAAGAGAAGGGATTGCAGCGTGGCCATCCCTTCTGGGGGGTGATTTCTTGCTTTCTGTCTCTCTGTCTCTCTGTCTGGCGAGCGCACGTACCCTATAGCAAAAACCTCTACAAAAGAAAGAAATTTAACTAGAAAGAATTCTTTTCTCTGGGAACATCAGTTTTCTAATTGTGTAACACTGAAAACAATGACT